CAGTCTCGTCAGATCTACATAAGAGCAGTGAAATGCCCCTCAGTGAAACACAAGTTTACTGTCAACAGTCAACACCTTGAATCTTTGCACAAGGACTTTTCTGAGCATTTTGAGGATATTTTGTCCCTCAGTAGGTCATCAACTCTTTTAAAAATATTGAGACAGCAGAGGTTCAGATTCAGGAGGAATTGGTTGAAATTTCAACTAATGGAACTTTGAAAGCCAGCTTCTCTAATGGTGATCATCTTGCAGAATTTTGGCTTCAAAGTAGCATCAGTCACCAGTACCCAGGATTCTGGACTGTAGTCAAAAAATTTTTAATTCCTTTCTCTTCATTCTACCTTGTCGAGCAAAGAATCAGTGCTGTGACTGATCTAATTATAAAAAGAGAAGTCCACTCCAAATCGTGGAGAGAGGGGACTTGCGCCTTCAACTCTCTAAAATTATTGAACCGAAAGTTCAGAAACTGGCTGTGAACCATTATGCGCAGGCATCCCACTATCATACTTGTTTCATTAATATTACTCTCTTGGTGTATTTTTTCCCCTGTTTTTTCTTAAATTATTTAATTAAGAATAAAGAGTGTTTAAGCATAAAAGAGCGTTTAGACTGGGGGGGCATTAGTCATTTTAATTTTAACAAAATAAATGTAATAACTTTCCAGGGCAGAACTATTTAAATCAATAGTAAGAGTAATCAATCAAATTAAATCAATAATAAGAGAGAAGACACTTATTATTTTTTAGTCATGCCCAAGATGGTTATAGATATTCCTGGCATGTAGAAGGAATGCATAATGGAAGAACGGAACTTGGGAGACAAACATAGCTATAAATTTCCCATATAGTTTTATTTCTTGATAAATAATTTCATAAGATATATATATTCTTGTCTTACATGTTACTGTAGGTGTGAGAAGCATCCTACAATTCTATTAAACTGATAACATCCTCAAACAGGGCATGATACAGAGAAGAAAACTAACATATGCAAGCAGAGCAAAGTAAATTGGCTAGACATTGTAGCAGAGGGATAGAGTTGAATTATTTGTTTGAATTTCAGACTGCGATTGGACAAGAGCTTATTGCTTTGCAGGATTAATAAGATGGCATAATGCAAATTAGTTTTCCAAATGATTTACTTACAAGAAAGGAACATAGCCAAAGAAGAATGATGAATTAAAAGGACTGTTGTTAAATTAAAGTTAGTTTTGTTTCATATTTTATATTTGACATATTCCCCTCAGTCGAAGAGAAAAGGCTTGGCAATAGAAAAACATTTCTAGAAAAAAGCATTAGTAAATGAAGATAAATTTTGTACAATATGTACAGTATGTACTTTTTCAATGAGATAACAAGTGATTTTCTTCGAGGATATTGTCTATAACACATCGCTCAATAAGTCCTGGGACTAACTAAGAATACAACACACAAAGAATACACAAATTTCACATTTATTCATTAACATAATTACCATCAAGAGCTATGCAATCATTCCAACGCTTTTCTAACTTTTTGATACCATGCTTCTAAAATGATTTGTACTTGTCTGCAAAATCAGCTTCAGTGGCAGCAAAATCAGCTTCAGTGACTTCCTCATTCAAGCCAAATCTTTTTGCCTGGAGCATCTTTTTCAGGTCAGCAAATAGCCAGTAGTCGCTGGGGGCTAGATCTGGGGAGTATGGTGGGTGGGGAAGCAGAGTGAAGCCCAACTTGTTCAATAATGTTTGCATTGTCTTGATAGTAGATGATTTTTCTTCTTCTTCATGTGCAGTCTTTTTTTTTTTTTTTTTTTTAATTTCATCCTTCATACTCACCAATAACTCACTGTAATAAGCGCTATTGATAGATTTTCCCTTTTCAAGGTAGTCAATGTAAGTTATACCTTGTACCTCCCAAAACACTGATGCCATGACTTTGCCAGCTGACTGTTGCGTTTTTGGACGCTTCAGACAGCTTTCACCAGCTGCACGCCACTCAGCTGACTGTCGCTTCGACTTAGGAGTGAAATAATGGATTCAAGTTTTTCCATTGTCACATACCGATGCAAGAAATTCTGTTTATTACAAGTAAACAGTGAGAAACAGCTCTGTGAATCGTCGACTCATTGTTGCTTTTGTTCCATTGTGAGAACACGTGACGCCCATTTGGAAAACACTTTTTTTATGTAAAATCGTATAGGCACTTCCAGTTGATATGTTTACCATTTCAGCAATCTCATGAACTTTCACTTTGCGGTCATTCATCATGATTTTCAACACTTGTTTCAGATTTTTCGGAATGACTGCTTCATTTGGCCTACCCGAGCGTGCCGCATCATTTGTATCCATGCGACCGCGCTTGAAATCAGCAGACCAATGGCAAACAGTTGTTTTCGATGGAGCAAAGTCTGGATATCATTTTTCAAGCCATTGCTGAAATTGGACGTTATTTTTGCCGATTAAATAGCAATGTTTGATCAACACTTGAAATTCATTTTTCTTCATTATTTTCACCACAGTAGCTTTGCTTTTTCCGGCCTGAATGCCATGAAAATCAGACACGTGTCATTTTAAGAATAGTTCTTTCGAGCAACGAAGTCAAGTTGATATTACTACGCCATATGTCGATTAGTCCCAGGACTTATTAAACGATGATGTGCTACACATAGCCTGTAGGCCCCATTATTTTATTCATGAACTTTCTTTCTTGTATCTTAAGTTATAAAATGACACATATAGTTTGGAAATATATCATGTGCACAGCCTTGCTGGTTAGAGGGTTGATTATAATCAGATAAAAGACTTTGCTTTCACTTCTGTTGTTATGTAAGTACTTTCATTATGCTTGCTTGAAGAAAACTAATTTGCATTATACAGGCATCATACAACAAAAATTAATTTGGAATTCATGTCCTCTGGAAAGATATGTTATATTTAGGATAGCAAAGAGAAGTAATAAGATTAAAAGCATGATTAATGGGGCTATTACAAATTAAAGTAAAAATTTTACACATATATATTTATTTTTAGGAAGGAGGAGGAAGGTTTGTTTAAACCAGGGTTTTTTAAACTTTTGTCAGTTGTGACCCCATTTTATCACTGAGATTTTTTCGCATTTCTCCAGGACCCCATAATATTCATGAACATTTTGTGGGACCCCCTTAAGTATTGCGCAAATCCGACACACACGTGAGTGAAATTGCCAATGTTTTCACTTGTACTGTAATATACTATTGCAGTTTTATGTTATTAACTTTAATTTCTAATTTTAAGACATAGAGCAATGTGAAAATTTTAAATAAGTAAATGACAGTGTCATGTGCAAAGCAAGGAAAATGAACGTTTATATTGTAAAAAGAATACGTCAAAACATTATCATTTTTTTTTTTTTTTTTATTTTCTGATCTTTATCTTTTGGTAATTGTAAAATTGTTATAATAAGAAATATCAAAACTGCTAAAATTTTTGGCAACCCCCGTGCTACATGTCCTGCAACCTGGACCCCCTTGGGGGTCGTGACCCACAGTTTAAGAAACCCTTGTTTAAACCACAATGTAATGTTTTGACACATTTATAATACTTATATAATTTTAACACTTGGATTTTTTTCGGAGGAGGGGCTTAGCCCATATCTAGTTTTCAGATTTTTTTTTTTTTTTTTTTTAATATTTATTGATTTGTTTTATTAGTAGTATGTATACTATCTGGTATTTGCTTTGGTTGCTTTTGGAGTAAAGAAAAAGCTTTTATTAGGAAAGAAAGACCACTTGGGAATAATGTTTTTTCATTTAGGTTTTCTTTTTATCAACTCATTTGAGGGGAAGGAGCCAAAAGCATTTTAAACTTTAAGTTTAAATTTGTGGTGTTTAATTGTTATAAACTCTTTGTCTTTGAATTTTTTCAACAGTAAATTGCAAAATTGGAAAAATCTTTTAAATGTGGTGTAATTTATTTTTACTTATTGCTTCAATAAAGTGTAAAGCTATATTTTAATTTATTTTGCATGAAGTCTTAAAATTAAGTTTGACTTCTTGTCAAATAACCTATCGTAATTTTTCATTATTTATGGTTATTTATATAATACATATATTCTTGAATACAACAGAAGAAATTTTTCTCACTTCTTGCTACTGCTATTACTGATTTGGATTGCATTTCTCTGACTAACATGGTATCAAATTCTCATTTTACATTTAGATATACAAATTCTACCATAGCAATCTTATTGTACCTATAATATAGCAACTGTACTTTTTATATTAGGATAAAAAGTATTATAAATAACTTGTTTGATTTAAAAATCTAGTAACTTTTAAATAAGACACAAAACTAAAGTGCCCCCCCCCAAAAAAAAGCTCAATTATTTAAACATCTTTTGGCTTTTATCTTCATTCCTTAAAGTGAAGATATTTTAGAATTTATTTGTATATGTATGCAGAATGACGTAAAAATTTATTTGCTTTGTTATAAGAATCCATTTTGTATTGCAGAAAATTTTCCAGTAGTGTATTGATATTAAATCCAACCTCTAAAATAGAGGATGCATTTAATTTTTATTATTTTAATCTTATAGTTTTCATGATCCCTCTCATTCTACAGAAAAAGGGCATTATAATGAAACTGAATTTAATCTTCCAAGCAGCCAAGGTTTTGGCTGCAAAACCCTGAAGTTTCCCAAAAGACCATGTGTAAATATTATTTTCTTGATTATAAACACAGAATGGCCTGTCGATTTGTATGCTAGATCCTTTTTTTCCAGTGCATACACTAACTAGTTTAATTATTAGGATACATTTCAAAATGCATTTCCATGCTCTTAATGCTATATTTACTATGGCTCGGCTGCTTGGAGGGTTAATGTATTTTCATCTGTTGGTAGCTTTTTTACTATTTTTTGTTAATAATGATCATTATAATGAGTGTTTGTTATAAAATGTGGATTGTATTTAAATTTTCAGTTTAGATTTTATATTTAATAAAAATTGATCCAGCTTCTCATTTAATACTTTCTTGTTTGTAGGACAGGAACTTGTGAGCGCAAGTATGAAGAGATCTGCCAGAGTATGGTAAATGGATATTTAAAAATGAGATCTGTGTGGGAAACAGTTCGCCAAGTTAAGGAGACAAAACCCTATCTTGTAAGAATAATTTATTTTTTATTGCTTCATTATTATTATTATTAATCTTTTTTAATCTTCTTTATTTCATGTACATCGTTAATGCTTTAAAACTGACCAATACTAGATAAATGCTTTGAAAAATAATATGTAATAATATTGATTTTTATGCTGAAATATAATTTTGTTTTATATGTCCCTTTTAATTTAATTTTTTGTTCAGTGTTTTATAAAGTAACAAGCATACTATATATATACTTAAAGATTATAATTCTGAATTTCTGAGGTTGAGATTAGAAAAAGAATGATTTATATCTTTGAATGATGAGTCATTATACATTATTAGGGGTGCATATGGTACAAAATCTGAAATCTGGATTTCCAGTATCCAGACCTTCAGGCTAGCCGCACTTTTTTTTGGCGGAGAGGGGGATTTTTTTACAAAAAGGTAGAAAAGGGACTTAGATTCCGAGCATAGCATCTGGCTTTAACATAGGCTTAATGCTCCACACATGCACAATAAACATTTTTATAACAGAACTCTTGAAGAAGGGATTCTTAATTTCAACACTAAATAGAACATTACTGTGTCTTATCATTTATCGGCACATATCTGTATGATCAATAAATTGGTTTCAAAGCTTTGCTTAATACGCATCTCAAACCGAAACACACTATCGCTAATTTTACACCTTCTGATCATTGCTGATTTTACTCCTGTTGAATAACTTAAATATCTGATGTCGAACAGACAAATCATCTTTCATTACTTGTCGCTTTCTTCACCACTGTCAGTTCAAGTAAAAATGACCCAGGCAGTTATGCGTATCTAAAACAAAAAGTATTTATAATTTAATTGCTAAGTAGCACAATAACTTTTTATGTTGATATTATGCTTGATGATGATTACAGACTTCAGCCAACTGTACTGTGAAGTGTTGAGTTTGTTGACAAGGAGAAATTTAACAGAAAATTTCCCATGTGTAAAAAATAGCTTTTATAAATGGTATTCATAGGATAGATATTAAATCTAGCATTGTTTGAATTAAGAAAAATTTATTTGTTAACCAAACAAGCCTTAAGTAAATGTGGGGATTTATTTATTCAGATAAACCATAAGTGTGAATGGAAAATAAACTTAGTATCATAAATAAATAACTAATGCAATTCAGGCTTAATTTCTTTAAAACTCAACAGACGTAGGAGAAAATTTAGTGGAACGATACATTTCTAGTCGCCAGTCTCCATGATTTGTTGTCAATAGTTTATAGCAGATGCTAGCTAAGCTTTATGATGTCAGCCCCGAATTTAAAGGTTTTCAGATACCTCAAATAAAATTCTGAATTTTCCAATTAGTGAAACTTGTGAAGAAATATTGAGAAGTGGTAAGAAAGGGAAATGATTTAACAGAAGTTTTCCTTTGCAAGTATAATACCCCAATCATCAACCAACAGATGCCGAAATCTGTAGTATGGTTCTAAATCAAGAAAATATTAGTACCAATAGTGAAAAAAGTGGCAGAAAGGGTTGCTGAAAGTAAAAAAATGTTGATTGGCAATTTAGTGGGAATTCTTGATACAACAATTACAGAATTGAACAGTAGAACTTTGTAACTGAATAAGAAATTACCGTCTATCTATAAAATAAAAAAGTATTGGCACAAAAAAATGAAGCAACTTAAACAACTTACTTTGAGAGAAATGTGTAAAAAAGTAAACAAATAAATATTGAGCTTTTTTTATGAATTTTGATTTCCTGAAGGTAACAAATCTTCCCTTTTTTCATAAATAGGTATTCCTATTTTTAATTTCTACATGTCACCTTATTAGATCTAAACTGATGATATAAAATCTAGAAAATTCCAAAGTCTGGTATCACCAAATTCTAATTTAAATTATGCATACTTCTGCATTTTTCCATTACTCTTAATAGAATTTTGTAATATTAGCTAATCTTTTAAGAAATGGCAGTTTTCAGGTTAAGACAAAATTAAATGCATATCAGAAATTTTGGTAAAGTATTGAATTTTAAAGTTTGTGTATTATATTCAGATAGATGCTGTTTTATTTATTAAAAAATGCTTGAGTATGCTGTCTTTGGTTAATAAAAGTTCAGAATGCATGAAAAGAAATACATCTTAATATTGAAATTGTATTGCATGTATTCTTTTTTTTTAAATTTGTAATTTATGCAATATTAAAAATTTCATATTGTTATATATATATTGTAGTACATAAGGCAGAAATTTCACATCATTATATCCAAGGTTGTGGAGTCAGTAGAGAAAATGTCTGACTCTGGCTCCCTCATATAGTATATATATATATATGTAACAGCTTATTTTTTTAATATAAAAGAAGTAATAGATGCTACAGGGAAAAAATTGATGTCATAGCAAATTATTTATATTAATTAGCATTTATTATGAAAGGGAAAAAGTGGCATTAGTTATTTTTAAGAAACAGTATAGCTTCGGCAAAACCTTCTTTGTTGGAGAGCCATAGATGCAATTTGATAAACCTCAGAGTTGAGAAGAGTCTTTCCACACTAACTTGAGTAGGAAGAAGAGTTGTTACTATTAGGGCTACTTCTTTTAACTTTTCAGGATAGATTTTTTTAAGTTCTAAAAAAGGTATCTTGCAAGCGCAATCATATTTCTTTAGTTCTTCAAAGGCCGTGTAGAAATCTTGTTTGTATTTTTTCATTTTTATATCTAAAAGCTCTTGGTTCTTTGTTTTCATTCGCTTTGCCTTAACCTTTTCAATATTATCCAAAAATATTTCTCAAAAATCTAATTCATCTTTGGAAGAGGATGATAGAGACTCAATTGCAGTGTCTGCAGTTTGACTGTCTTGATTCGAATTCTCCAATTGTTCTGAGAATAATTTCATTTTTAATGAAAGTTCATAGTGGCTTTCTTTGCCTTTTTAATTTGTTCATTATACAAGAAAATTCGGTGTTTCGAATCTATATTATTATTGGACCCAGCAAGATCTCGTTGTCTAGCAAACTAATTTATCTTTTCTTCACTGAAGAAATGATTCCTTCTGCAATAAACCCTCCATTTCAGAAAGAACAAACATCCCATTCTTCCATTCTCCCCTCCTGTCAATTCTTCAGATTGCAGCTTTTTTGTGGCTATCTACGGTGTAGAAAGAAGAGTTTCCAATTCTGCAAGATCATTCCACAGTCTTTCTGTTAGTGAAACATTAGGGTTATCTACATCTTCTAAAAAAGTTCTCAATTCTAACAATTTCTTTATCATCAAATATGTACTTCCTTATCACGTTGCTTGATCAATAATTGCTCCTTTTCCTGCTCACTTCCTAAGAATGGCATTAATTTTGGGAGTTCTTGCTGCTATTGCTGCTTACCAAAATTTACCAGTGAGATTTATAACTAAATGAATCAGTTTAATCGCTAATTGCAAATATCACATCCATTCTCCTCCCTTAAATTTATTTATCGATATGTCAAAAAATACAAAATAATTATTTATTAATGTATATAGTTCCTAAATAAAAATAATAATTTAGCTTGTCATTAATTTTTTTTCAATTCATTTTAATTTCATTTCAAATTCAAACTGTTCAACAAAAGCTGGAGTCGGAGTTAGCCTGTTTTTAGTGACTCCAGCTCTGACTCCTTTTACCCCACAATCTTCTCAACTCCGACTCCACAGACCTGATTATATCAGTGGTTCTCTCCCCCCCTTTTTTTTTTGTGTGTGTGAGTGCCTTATGCTTTTCCTTCACCACAGCTAGACAATCATCTTCTCTCTTTTTCAAAACTCAAAAAATACATGTCATTTATTTAAACTTATTTTTAATGTGTTTAATAAATTAAATGAGGAAAAATATAGAAAATGTTCAAAAATATCAAAACTTGAGTAGAAGTAGTTTTTTACATTTGTATATGAAAATTAGATGTTTAACAGTTAAATAAAAGGCTGACTCTGGAACTATGAAATCTGGTGTTCAAACCCAGGCAAACAGGCTGAAGTTGCATATATATTTTTTGTGGTTTTCCTCATGTGTAATATAAATGCAAGCTAGTTTACTTTACGAAATATATCCATGAAGGTATCCCGTCCTCAGGCTGATAGCTCTTGTGTGCGTTGCCATATCCAAGTAACCTAACTTAACCTAACACAGATTTTAGAATGTGATAAATTAATAATGAATTTGTTCGATAAAAGAATGATAGTTGATAGTGCAAGTCAAGAGCTGCTATTTGAAAATATGAAAGCTATATTCATTTATCTAAAATTTACAAAGATATTTTTTGTCCAAAGGTATGAGTGCATGGGATAAGTTTGTGTAAGAATAATATAAACTGATCTTGTTATTACAATAAAATTCCAATAACACACAGTCACTTAATCCACAGATGCCTGTAGTGTATTGTCATTTTTAGATGTAAACAAACATTTTGATTTACAGAAATCCAGGCATAGTTGTAAATTTATAGGTAGTTTTTTTTTCCCTCATATATCAGTGCAAGCAAACTTTTTAATAAAATAGGCAATACTTTCTGAAGTTCATTTTGAGTAGATATAGTTAACATCTAGTAGTGGCATAGTAGGGTTTCTGCTCTAAAGTCCTACAGATCCGATTAAATTAATAGTGAGTTCTTGCTGCATCTTAAACAATACTGAAGAAGGTCAAAATAATCTTTTTACGCAACTGCATAATCTTAGAAGGAAAATGAGACTTGTAATTTAAAATATGAGAAATTTAGTGTCTATTAACCACTTGCGCTAAAACGACATGCCATGCACGTCGAGATGCCTTCGTCTCAAACCACACACAAAAATGAAAATAATGTGGTGCACACGTCACCTAACAACCAGATTGTTTATTTCTCGAGTTACAGCTCTGGATTGATTGTTTATTTTTCGAGTAACAGCTCTGGATTGCACTCACAGACGCGGAGTGGCATATATGAGACACTTTACCGCTTGTTATATTGTAGCGCACTGCACCGCAACCGTGAAGTGTAGTCGTAGTGCAAGTGGTTAA